AATATTTTTTTTCTCAGTGTGTACACTCTGAGAAAAAAAATTTTAGAATCTATTTGTGGGATGCGAAGCTTACTTTTCTGTGAAGTGAAATCTATTTCTGTGAAGAATATGAAATTAAAGTGAAAACTCAGTTTGCTTACTCCGTAGAGTCGAAGCAATTTTTATTCTAGTAAAGTTATTATATATTTATATATATATATATACTTACGGAGTAAATATATATTTGCTTACGGAGTAAGCAAACTGAGTTTTCACTTTAATTTCATATTCTTCACAGAAATAGATTTCACTTCACAGAAAAGTAAGCTTCGCATCCCACAAATAGATTCTAAAATTTTTTTTCTCAGAGTGTACACACTGAGAAAAAAAATATTTGAAAATTTATCTGCGTGTGTGTGGGATAAAAGTTTATATATTTCGTGGAAATAAACTTTACTTCGCGGATATAAACTTTATATCCCACAATAAAATGCTGAAATATTTTTTCCTGTGTGTGCGAGAGGAGTTTACGTTATGTTTCTGGCTGCTCGCGAGCGCGAGGCGAGAAAATGCTCGTGCTTCACGTGTATAGCGCAAATAAATATAAAGTGAAGCTCTCATATCTGCCATAAAGTCCTTCGTTAGATCGATAGCGGCCCTGACCGTCTGCGAGCGACAAGCGGAGTACCGGCGAGTAAACGCGTACCCGGGTGGCGTTCGCGGTCGGACGTATCCGTCGAAAAATAACCACTTGCAGCTCGACGTCTGGCCGGCGTCGCAAGTGGTCATCGATAAACACCAGCTCCCTTGCCCCCGAGACACGGTGACGCAACGGATGACGACGTCGTCGAGCGCGATGTCGTCAGTGACGTCGGCGACGAGACGTTTCGACACGCCGGCGGTTTTGGGCGTTGTTCAAATCGATTTTTATTCCCACGCTGCACTCTCCCTGGCTAGTTCGCGGGAACAAGATCGAGGATGCACAACTCCGGATCATATTCCGACGGAAGAATTTTCTTTTCTTTATTGAGCAGTCGTCCCCCCTCCTCGATGCATTTGGGGATGGAATCAAGTGAATTTCCGGTGCTTTGCACTGAACACGATACAGTTTCGCGCGTTTCTATATTTACTAGCCGGCCGCGGCGCATCATTAATGGTCGGTCGATCAGCTGCCAAGCTTCACCGCTCGAAAGAAACTTTCGTAAGTAATACAGGTCAACGCCTTGAACAGCAATGGTAAGCCACTACGCGGTCGCGGACGTATAATTCGGCGGACACTCGCCTGCCGACGAGATCAGGAAAAGTCGAACGATTCAATTCAGGACAATTTCTCTTGTAACGTCGTAAAAATGGATCAAGCCGCCTGAGGTTCATCACCCGTATTGACGTCAGCGCGATATCAGGTCCCTTGTCGCGAGATACCGGAGGATTGCGTTAGTCGTCCGTGTCGAGGGTAGTTTTTGAGAACGGAAGGATTCTCGAAGAATGTCTCACCTCTTCGGTTTTCGCCGCGATCGTCAACGGCGTTTCTATGAGGCTAGAGAAACTGGTCCTGCTGCCGTGCCGGCTGCTCCTAGTCAGAGAACCGACATCGGTCACCTCTCCAGCGGCGATTCGAGCGATCCTGTCGTTTTCTATGCACTGCGTCAACGGTATGCCGAACACCAGGCCACCGGCTACGTCTGAAACAAGAAATAGAAAATAAGAATTCCAGGGTAGCCATAGAAAATAAATTTTGAAATTCCCTGACTTTTTCATGTTTTCTAGTAGAGAATTTTCAATGACCAACATATATTTTTCAATTTTAACGTTTAGGAACAGGGATTACAGAAAAAGTAGTTTATATTATTAAAAGCAATACAAACTTTATGGAAGTTGACTTTCGGTCGAATTGGCTGAAGATTTGATATATTGTAGATCTTGTCGTCCTGATAAAAAGTCTCCACAGGTACAATCTCCTGCAATGAACCGTTTGACCTCTACGAAGTGTCATTTTTCAAAACAGGCTAATACTACAATATTTTATTTTCAACGGGTACGGTGCATTCCTACATCATTATTTGTACTTTCTATGTATTTTTTTAAGTAAAAAGTTATAACGATATTATTGACTTTATTGCTTCTTACAAAATGTTATAAAGATATCGAGGTCAATAACTTGATTTTAGAGATTTAAGTCAATGCTGTGTTGCTTCATGTCTAGGACGGGAAAAGAAATGGACACAATCATAGGGTGCATGCAAAGAACCGCTCTATTTATATTGAGTAGGCCGTGTGTTGTGAGAGGCGGGGGGACTCACAATAATCAAGCACTCTGACTTTTGAGAAGCAATCAAGTCGATATAACTTTCCTTTTTATCCTTATAACTTTTTACTTAAAAAAATATATAGAAAGTACAAATAATGATGTAGGAATGCACCGTACCCGTTGAAAATAAGATATTGTAGTATTAGCCTGTTTTGAAAAATGACGTCTCGTAGAGGTCAAACGGTTCATTGTAGGAGGTCGTACCTGTGGAGATTTTTTATCAAGGCGACAAGATCTACAACATATCAAATCTTCAGCCAATTCGACCAAAATTCAATTTTCATAAGGTTTGTGCGGAGCCTTTAGTTTAGTAACATAATATTCCTAACATATTGTTACGTCCGTGACACTGGGTGTCTCGTCCCCGTCAAGCAACAGCTGAAGTGTCAGCTGAAGTGTATAGCTTGCAATTCTCTTGTGTACCTTGTGTATCTTGTGTAAACTAGTAATCGATGTCTCTTAGTTACGATTGTAAACAAGTGTGTTGTGGTTTTCATGTTCGAGTCTTCGCCTTGCGAGGACATATCACGTTGTGTTTTAAGAAAGAATCTCTGAGTTTATAATTAAAAGTTTACGTTCTTTCTTAAACGTGTGTTGTTTCATTCCTTGTGAGTGCGCGAACGTAACAATATGTTCCTGAAAATACACATCCAGGCTAACAAAAATTATGAGTATTGGAAAAAAAGAATGTAGGTATGAGACGGAAAAGGATGATTGAATGAAAAAACAGTGAGTAAAATATAAATTTTAATTGTTTTGTTAACATCATGATGCATGGACTAGCAAAGAAAAAGTGGCTAATACAGCGAATTATGTTTAATTGTCCATATGTAGCAGATCTTTTTTCCGGTAAGGTTCGACTGATAGATAAATATATACATATTCAATTTAAATTAAGAAAATCATTATATAATAAATAATATCATTATATAATTAAATAAATAACATTTGAATTCCTATACTATATCTATAAACTTTTAACGTTAAAATTAAAAAAATAAACTTGACATTAATCAAATCCCTAGATTTAGTAAGTATCTAGAGATTGACCCTAGATTTAGTAAGTATCTAGAGATTGTGTATTCTTCTCTTATAACTCAGGGAAGGTTATATTAATTTCACAGAAATATAAGAAAAGGCCAAAATTCCAGGTTATTTTATATTTTTCCCTGATATATCCCGGTTTTCCATGACAAATTTAAATTCCATGATCTTTCCCGGTTTTCCTAGTTTTCCAGATCTATAGCAACCCTGAATTCTATATAAAATATCAAAAGTTTCATGAATCGAGAAATGAAAAGTGAAGGACCAGATAAATAATTATATTAACGAACTACAGCGTGTGTGTGTGTGTGTTGTAATATTCAAAATTTAACACAGAGCCAAAATTTCGACTCAGAGTCATATAACGTTTCAACGCCTGCACTAGGTACCCTCTTCGTGAATACCTTATCTAAAAAAATAATATGATTGGCCCACGCATAAATCTGATTATGCCAACCAGATTTAGTAGTGAAATACGGAACAACTAATAGTGTGCTTGCTGCAACTACAGAGCAATTGTTAAATTATAGTTACGATATCTGGTTTTGCTCTAATTAAAGTAGATCCATAGTAAATGTCACCTCAACCGATTTTTCGTTACCACAACGATCATCATGCAACATGCATCCCAGGTAGCAGAGTGATGTCAGAAAACGTCTTATTGACGTCATATTGACGTCAGATCGCCGTCAATATGTCATTCTCCGACGTCACTCTGCTACTTGGGATTGATGTAGTTGATGTATCAAAGTAAACAAGTAAACCTACCCAAATGTTACACTCCAGTTTTGATAAGCTTTTAACATGCTGCAGTCTAAATATTATCGGAACGGTAAATAATACAATAAAAAGTCTCAAATAAAAGTTTTATGGATTTTAATCAGCTTTATAACAATGCACTCAAATTTTTCGAAAATATCTTTTTTTTCGAAATCCCTTTTTTCCTCCTTAATTTTATAAAATCTGAGTACATTGTTATAAAGCTCATTAAAATCCATAAAACTTTTATTTGAAACTTTTCTTTATATTATTTATTGTTCCGATAATATTCGCTCAGAAATATCGATTTTTTTCAAGAGGATGTTTTATCTTCTTACAGACCGTATGAGCACGTATAAAACAATATGTGTCTCTTATTTAGACCTAGACTACAGCATAAAAAGCTTATCAAAATTGGAGTGTAACACTTGGATAGGTTTACTTGTGAATTATATCAATCGTACATATTTCCATCACGCAAAGATAATTGATGCAACTCGGATCAATGCATAATATGCTACTCGCAACTAAATATTTCTTGTTATGCAGCATAACAATTGTTATGCAAGCATAATATTTTTTTCGTATAGATTCGTCGGGAAATATGAAATATGTGATCTTTGGCATGCATACATGGATGCAAATCAAATTGTCAAAAACTGAAGTGGAAAAATTGAAGAAAATAGTACAGTCGATCCTAAGTATCTTAGTGAAGGCTCTCAGAAACGTCAAATATCAGACAATACTAATGGGTAGTGGTATCAATTTTATCACTAGTTCTACATGCATTATTTTTTATTTAAAAAAAAAAGTGTTTTATTCCTTTCATATAAATTGATTATATTGAAAGGATTATTGGTTTTTTTATGAAGGAGACAGTATTCTAAAATAAAGGAAATTCTAAAATAATTAACAAAAAAGATAATCTAACATAAAAGTAATATTAATGAGAACTTAAAAATATTATAAATATCAGATTCAGTATCGCTTGTTAATTATAATAATTAGTAGCCTAATGGTATAATGAATAAAAGCAACTCTCTAGTAATTAACGAAACAAACATAATTCATAGAAATAATCAAATTAACATAAAATCACAGAAAATCAGATTTAATTTAACTTATTAATTAGGTAGGTACATTAATCACAGTTGCCTAATGGCAAAATGTGAACAAGGAAAATTACGTCTTTTATGATTCAGAGTCTTTAGCGCGAAAAATCTCAAGGTTACGAGATTTTTATAATCATTTGGAAAACCGTCTTGAACCAATCGAGTTGGTTGTCCCAAAACGACTGAGTTACGTATTATTCAGATTAATAATTTTGATGATCTAATGATCACGCGTGAAAATAATTAAAATTTAAATTAAAACAATTAAAATTAAACAAGAAACGTCATTATGATTTGACGCAATTAAGCTGATATGACACTTCTTCATTGCCAGAATTTTAACTATTTATTGTGCACGATTCCGTCGACGAATCTCTCTTTTCCGGATAATTCGCAATCTCCGCGATCATTTGGCCGGCGGACGAACACCGCGAGGGACCGACATCGATCTGATGTACGGGCCGCCAGCTGCGTCTCATTCGCTACACGGCGAATTCGCGTAGATGTTACGTACGCAATTGCGCGTATTCTGCACACACGAGCAAATCGAGAGGCACCAAACCGTCGCGATAGTCCCTCGTTGTCTGTTAATTAGATCCATTAACGAGAACGGTACGCGTCGAAAGTAATTTCAACGTCGATCTGTCGAGGCGTTTCCTAAAACGCGAGTAGCTCGATGGAACACGTGCTATTCAATTAGGGCTCCTCTCCAATGCGTGCAGGCTACATCATCACTAATAGCGTACAGAGAATACGTTCTGATAGAATTATTCTGTCCTTAATTTTCTATTGCGCCAAAATAAGGGTTCAAGAAAGGTTCAGCCTCGACACGGCACTTGAAAGAGTAATTCGTTCTCGAGTCACGCGAAGAACACTCTCTAAGGTACAATCAGTGTATTCTCTTCACTGAAATGCTATACTTATAACTGGTGATTCAGTTATAAATATAGCATTGCAATCAGTAAAATATCTCGCGGAAAGGACTAGTTTATAGTAGCGACTACTTCCATTATTGACGCACTTTGCGAACACAGGCAGTGTCATTGCACACAAAGAAGCCGCGTGGAAGCTGCTAATTCCATCGTCACAAATGCACAAGGTTGAATTTGGCGCAACGTATAACGAATTTGTGCATTGCAGATTCAACAGCGAAATTTTACTTCCACCGGTCGGTGAAATATAGTCGAAGTCGGTAAGAAATAAGATGAAGCAGTAAAACGGCAATGTTTTCTGAAACTCGGTGAAATAGTCCTTTTATTGGTACAATCCAAAACAGCTCTGCTGATTTATTTTAGAAGAGTGGATTCAATAAACTCGGTGTATAAATATACGTTAATGGACTTCATATGTAAAAGCTCTTCAAGCTTTAACATTTTAATTTCTCATCGCTATAATATATCATAAACGCGCAAGTTATAATAAGACAGAGCAATAAAGTGTTTTCATTGAAAATCAGTGA